CATCGGGGACACTGCCATCATCACATGTCTGGACGGCTGGAACCGGGGATGATGCGATGATGCGGACTCGGACCGGCCTCACACGCCTGGCCCCGGTGGCCACTCCCCCCAAAGGTGGACGAGTGCTGGGGCCGCGGGAACGGGGGAGGGGGAGGAGGAGGAGGAGGAGCCAGCTTACGATGCGATGCGAACGGGGATGTGATCCGCCACCACGCACCCACGGCACTCTTGAGGCGCTGATGGGACGCCACGTGCTGTGCGGCAGGGTCTCTGTAAGCTTCTGAGTATCCCCCCCCTTCTCCTCGCATCGTCAAGAACTATGGGTCCGCGCTCCTGGGGCAACGAGCCCGCGTGAAAAAAAACTGTGGATCCGCGCTCGCGCGCCCACGGCCCCTAGCAGAAACAGCAGGCCCGCGCTCCCGAGCTGCCACGACGGCCGATGCAGGCAGCCAAGGTCGCCAAAATGACCCGCGGTGCATCACATGCGGCCCAAGATGGCCACAAGGCGACCCCAGGTGACATCAAGACTGCCCAAGAGGCCTCCAATACGGCCCAGGAGGGCCGCAAGAGAACCCCCAATAGGCAACCGAGATGTCCCCAAGACGGGGCAAGAAAGCTCCATGGTGGCCCGATACTCCTTCCATACGGCAGTCGCCACCCAAGGTGCTGGGCGGGCGCGGTGGCAGGACTTGCCGCAAACAGCTTGATACCATGACGACGATGGCGATCTCGTTTTGCACAAGGGCCTAACAAATTCTTGAAGCACTGGGTCTATAAGAATAAACCAAGCGCCGTAGTCGCATGCAGGCCAATGCACCAGACCGACGTTTATCAGTCCGATACAACTGGCACCTAATACAACGCCTAAACACAAATCCACCACTAAGTCGTTGAGTGAGCACACTTTCGTGCTGTCCGCAACAGCCCGTAGTCGCATGCAGGCCAATGCACCAGACCGACGTTTATCAGTCCGATACAACTGGCACCTAATACAACGCCTAAACACAAATCCACCACTAAGTCGTTGAGTGAGCACACTTTCGTGCTGTCCGCAACAGCACCCGTGATGGTGAACATGCAACGGCAACGAGTCTGCGAGAAACTCCAGGCCATATCTACACACAGGTAAAGTACCAGGAAGCTGGAAAGCACACATGGCCGGATTCGCATGCGGAACATCTGGAGGCCGCAAGCTGGATGCACACATGGAGACCCTGCGTGCGTGACAACGGCCGAGCGCCCGAAAGACATCTGTCCACATGCGTGTCCAACTCTCGCCCAAGACGGCCGCGTCCTGTGTACCCAGCTTCCTGGTACCGTGTATCTGATCGACTTTATCGACCAACACCGATGAATGAATAAGCATGCAAAGTACAGTACGGACAACTTGCCGCGCGCCCTGTCACTGAGCGTGTTGCTCATGCCGCCTTGGGCATCAGCAGAGCAAATAAGAGCAGCAAGCGTGTGACACACTATGGCAAGACTCGTGTGCGCCAACGGGAGCACGCAGCCCTGGTGCATCACGAACAGAATCGACGAGAAGGGAAACCGTCACCAAACCAAAGAGGAGGAGGAGGAGGGGATCCCCTCGAGAGGGCCCCTCCAGAGGGGGGCTCCTCCTCGACGGGATCCCCTCGAGGAGGAGGAAGAGGAAGAGGAGGAGGAGGGGGGGATCACCACCAAAAGGGCCATCCAGGCAAGGGGGGCAGCCCGAGGGGGGGGAGGCCCCCGGCCAAAGCCGAGAAGAGAGCTCCATCATCCCTCGTCCAGGCCCCCCCCCTGCCCCCCCAAAGCAGCGAGGGGGGCCCACGTGTGCTGGCGCCGCCGCTCCCCGAAACCCCTCTCTGACAGAGCGCCTCCGAGGCGAACCCCGCAGGGGCGACGCGGGCTCTCCGCCCCCCCCCTCCCCCCCGAGGAGGCCCGACGCGGGGAGCTCGAGGGAAGGGCGGCGGCATCGGCATCGGCGGCGCCCCCTCCACCACAGGCCTGTGGGAGAAGACAGCGGCGGCATGTGGCCGGCTGTCGCGTGCACGGCGGCGCCCCGAGCGAGGGGCGGCGCCTTCAAAAAAGAGGGGCCAGCAGAGCTGCTGCTGCTGCTGCTGCTGCTGCTGGCCTGCGGCCGCGCGACCGCGCACCTCCCCAGTCCCCCATCTCCCCCGCGTCGAGGGAGCAGAGAGGACAGACTGGTGACGTTGAGAGCCCTATCAGAAGAACCGCGCCAGAACCTAGCATGAAGAAGATGGCGACCGATGTGGGGAATCGCTCAGGCCTGGCCAAGACGGCCCCCGCGTCAAGTGAGCAGGGAGGACATAGTGGTAGCGTAAAGAGCCAGATCATAAGAACCAGACCAGTACTAGTATGAAAAAGATGGCGAACAATGTGGACAATCGCCCAGGCCTCGCCAAAACGGTCCGCTCGTCAAAAGAACAGGGATGACATAAAGGTACCGTTAAGAACGGCAATCGCCCAAGCCTGGCCAAGACGGGGGAAGAGAGAAGAGGTCGAGGACGGAGGGAATACAATTATGAGTATGTGTGATTGTTCCTCATTTCGATTATCCGTGCTTTCTCCGCCGTCCCTTTCCTACTCCTCCTCCTCATCCTCCTCATGCTCATCCTCCCCCTATTGCTCCTGCTCCTGCTCCTGCTCCTCCTCCTCCTCCTCCTCCGCCTCCGCCTCCGCCCCCTCCTCTTCTCCACCTCGAATCAACACAGCCTCTTTTCCCTCCGCCACCTCCTCCTCCTCCTCCCCCTCCTCCTCCTCCTCCTCCTCCTCCTCCTCCTCCTCCTCTCCTCCTCCGCCTCCTCCTCCTCCTCCTCTCTCTCCTCCTCCACCCTCTCACCTCCTCCTCCTCCTCCTCCTCCTCCGATCCCCCCTCCTCCTCCTCCTCCTCCTCCTCCTCCTCCTCCTCCCTCCTGCGCCTCCTCCTACTCCTCCTGGTCCTCCTTCTCCTCCTCCTCCTCCTCCTCCTCCTCCTCCTCCCCCTCCCCCTCCCCCTCCCCCTCTCCACCCTGCTCGCAAGCCAAACTACAGGCGCCCGGCCACGAACTCCAGCCGGATGAAGATGTCGCCCTCCTCTGTCTCCTGGCACCGAAGGAGAGAATCAGAAGGGAGCAGGAAGAGGAGCAGGATGAGGAGGAAGGGGAAGAAGAGGAGGGGGAGGAGGAGGAAGAGGAGGAGAAGGAGGAGGAGGAGGGGAGGGGGAGGAAAAGGACGAGGGAGGAGGGAGATGAGCCCGAGGAGGAGGATGAATCCGCCGGCCCCCTTGTGGGGCCACCAGGCTGCGAGGCACGGGTTCGCAGTTTCCAGTACCAGTTGTAGCTTGTAGTTTCCAGTGTTACAGTTCTGCTTCTTGCTGGTTACTGTAACTAATTGACTTTTTGCTGGTTACTGCAACTAGTTGATTGACCGCGCGAGGGGGGGGGAGGCCCAAACGGGATTTTTAGCACCCCCTGGGCGCGTTGTCTGAATTGCTGGGGGGGCTCGAAATCGACACCCCTCACGCAGATCCGCGGGGTCAGGGTCCAAAAAAACAATAGATTTGCCACATTTCTGAAATTCGGTGCCACCCCTCACGCAGATCCGCGGGGTCAGGGTCCAAAAACATATGGGATTTGCCACATTTCTGAAATTCGGTGCCACCCCTCACGCAGATCCGCGGGGTCAGGGTCCAAAAACACAAGGGATTTGCCACATTTCTGAAATTCGGTGCCACCCCTCACGCAGATCCGCGGGGTCAGGGTCCAAAAACACATGGGATTTGCCACATTTCTGAAATTCGGTGCCACCCCTCACGCAGATCCGCGGGGTCAGGGTCCAAAAACACATGGAATTTGCCACATTTCTGAAATTCGGTGCCACCCCTCACGCAGATCCGCGGGGTCAGGGTCCAAAACCATAGGGGATTTGCCACATTTCTGAAATTCGGTGCCACCCCTTACGCACATCCATCGCAAGGCGTGGTAACCCCAACTGCGAGTACTCCCTCGGCCCTTTAATCCCAAGGTGTGGTAACCAAGCTCGTAAACCATACACGTCTTACCAATCGCCCTGTGTGGCAACCCCTCTTGTGATCAGTTGGTTTTGCCGATTGCGAATCGGCCTCGCATGAAGTTCCGATACTGCTGCACGACAGCGCCAAAGCCTCATGACTTAGCTCATGGCCCATTCTCCGAGAGAGGGGGCCGGCGGCAGGGGGCGAAGCCCTTACGGATAATAAGAACTATCCCAGTGCGACCCTACCTAGGAGTTGGAACCCCTAGGAAAGCAGCATTAGTAGTAACAGTTACGCTAAGCTAAAGCTAAGGTAAAGTCAAGATAAAGCTAAGCTGAAGCTAAGCCACAGCTAAGCCACAGCTGAGCTAAAGCTAAGCAAAAGCTGAGCTAAAGCTAAGCTACAGCTAAGCTAAAGCTAAGCTACAGCTAAGCTGAAGCTAAGCTAAAGCTAAGCTAATGCTAAGCTAAAGCTAAGCTAAAGCTAAGCTAAAGCTAAGCGAAGGCTAAGCTGAAGCTAAGCTACAGCTAAGCTAAAGTTAAGCTAAAGCTAAGCTAAACGCTAAGCGAAAAGCTAAGCGAAACGCTAAGCTAACGCTAAGCTACAGCTAAGCTAAAGCTAAAGCTAAAGCTAAAGCTAAAGCTAAAGCTAAAGCTAAAGCTCCCAGGGGACTGGGGGGAACCGCTCCCAGGGGACTGGGGGAACCGCCCGGGGCGATTTCCATTGCCCGGCCCCTTTAAGCTAAGAGAGTAAGAACCCTTCTAGGCAGAGCCTAGGTAGGGAATAATCATAGTAGTACGATTAATAACAACAATACGAATCATAGCAAATACTCAAAATACCAAGATTCAGAGTATGACCGCTAAAATGAATACGAACAGCAAGGATCATGTACATAATACTGAAACTACTGCACATACCAATCGCACGTGCGATTCAATGATACATTCTCAACCATGAATTATCGTATTACTGCTACTGCTACTACTACTACTACTACTACTACTACTACTACTACTACTACGACTACTACTACTACTACTACTACTACTACTACTACTACTACTACTACTACTCGTGCTACTACTACTACTACTACTACTACTACTACTACTACTACTACTACTACTACTGCTACTACGACTACGAATCTTAATACTACGAACAGTATTGGTAATACAAGCCGTGATAACAACAACACCAACAACAACATCACCATCAACAACAACAACACCAACACTAAACACAACAACAACCACAACAACAACACCAATCACTGCAGCACCAACGGCAGCACAAACAGCAGTTCCACCACCAACAACGACACTGATACGAGTAGCAATGAAACAAATAGCAAGGATAACGACACTATGACTACGACACGTAAGGGCTATGCTGATACACGAAATACAAAACCATACACATCCGACATATAAACCGAATGCACATTGCAAGCAACACCCGCATAATGTGAGTGCTACGAAAAACACGAATCGAGTAATACTAGCAATCATAATAATAACGATAACACGAATAGCACGACTAAGAATACGGCACATCAAAGAAGAACCATAACACTACTACGACTCATACTCATACAAACACACATACACATACGGATGTTAATAATAGTGGTAATGCAAACAATCGGAATACTAAACATGCGAGTGATACGAATAATGGTAAACATAAACCAATATTACTGATCGGATAAAGATAATACTAAGGGGCGACCGAGGAGGGAGGGAGGAGAAAAAGGGAGGGGAAGAAAAGGAGAAGGAGCAGGACGACCGAGGAGGGAGGGAGGAGAAAAAGGGAGGGGAAGAAAAGGAGAAGGAGCAGGACGAGGAGGAGGCTAAGGAGGAGGAGGGGGAAGGGGGGGGGGGAGGAAGGAGGAGGAGGAGGAGGAGGAGGAGGAGGAGGAGGAGGAGAGGAGGAGGAGGAGGAGGAGGAGGAGAGGAGGAGGAGGGGTGATGGAGGAGGAGGAGGAGGAGGAGGAGGAGGAGAGGAGGAGGAGGAGGAGGAGGAGAGAGGAGGAGGAGGAGGAGGGGGAGGAGGAGGAGGAGGAGGAGGAGGCAGGAGGGGAGGAGGAGAGGAAGAAGGAGTAGGAGAGACTGGGAGGAGGAAGGAGGAGGAGGAGGAGGAGGGGGAGGAAGGAGGAGGAGGAGGAGGAGGAGAGTGAGGAGGAGGAGGAGGAGGAGAAGGGGGGAAAGAAGGGGAGGGACAGGGGAGGGCGGGAGGAGGAAGGATGAGCAGGATTAGCAGCGTTGGCGCAACCAGACTCCATGAGCGCAGGGAAACACTGGGCAGCCTTAGGCGTCGAGCCTGGGCCGTCCTCGGCTGAAAAGCAGCAGAAAAAGGGGCGCCCCGTGCCGCGGGGCCCCCCAGCGGACCCCAGCAGCCCCCACGAATAGGGCAGCCAGGGCCGACGAAACCTCAGGGCGGTGCGGGTCGCACTGGAAGCGCCGTGCGGCGCACCGCCCTGGGGGCCAGGGGCCCCGCGCGACAGCAGACGGGCCCCCGCCTCCTGCACCCCTCGCGCTCTCGGCGCTGGCGAGGGGTGCCTTCGCGCCGCGAATCGGGCGTGTGAGGCCCGCATTCGCGCGCTGCACCGCGCCCTCGGAACAGGCGATGGGTGGCGCGTCGCAGGCCCGAGGGAGCCATCGCCAGCCCGCCCCCCGAGGGGACCCCAGGGGGAGGAGGGACACCAAGTAGAACGAGCTCAGGGACCCCGAGCCAGGGGGGCCTGGCAACGGGGGGCATCCCGAGTCCGCCCCACCTAATGCTCCACCCCACCCTAGGGGAGAGACCCCCAGGGGGCCTGGGCGCCCAAGCCCCCCCGCCGCCCTCCGCCAGTCCTGCGGATGGTCGCCGGCTCTATGTGTACCCCGCCGATACAGGCGGCGCCGACCACTTTGGGTTCCCCGGCTATCCCAGTGTGCTCACTGGGCCCCCGGCTTATGCGGGGGGGGAGGGAGGAGGAAGGGGAGGAGGAGGCGGAGGAGGAGGAGGAAGAGGAGGAGGACCAGGAGGAGGAGGAGGAGGAGGAGGAGGAGGAGGAGGAGGAGCAGGGCCCCAGGAGCGGGGATGGAGGAGGAGGAGGAGGAGGAGGAGGAGTAGGAGGAGCGAGGAGGGGGCAGGATGAGAAAAGGAGGGATGGGGATGAGAAGGAGTAGAGGAGGAGGGAGGAGGGAGGATGAGCCCGAGGAGGAGGGAGGAGGAGACGAAAGAAGAGGAGGAGCAAGAAGAAGAAACAGAAAGAAGACGAAGGGGAGGACAGGGGGAATGGAGGAGGAGACGAGAATGGGAGGGAAGAGGAGGAGGAGGAGGTGGAGGAGGAAGGAGGAGGGAGGATGAAGCCTCAGAGGGTCGGAGGATGAGGATGGAGGAGGACGAGGAGGGAGGATGGGGGAAGAAGAAGGGAGGGACAGGGGGGAAGGGGAGAGGAGGAGGAGGAGGAGGAGGCGGAGGAGGAGGAGGGAGGAGGAGGAGGAGGGAGGAGGAGA